AACTGGGCATCAGGAATCATTGCCTTAATCCACTTAAATGAGTCAATCCATGTAAATGAATTTACACGTGGTAGGTGAGCTACGTCTTAGGTGTTGTTATTTTTTTCTCCACAGTTATGCACTGTGTTACTGACGGGAACCATTATTTTCCTGTGTAGGTGTAGTCCTTTTCCGCCATGAATGTCTCTTACAATCACCATCTCAGCTGCAGCTGCAGTTGCTGCGTGACCATCTCCGATATTTTGTGGCTTCTGATTCAAGAAACGATCTTAAAGATTGAACTACGTTGTATGTTTCCTGATTCTCAGGTGTTCTTTTCTCATGTTTGCATTGTATTTCATTTATATAGTTTTGTTTGAAAATATTTTTGCCTTTATGGCTGATATAAAAATATTGTTTAATTTTCCTGAATATCTCGATTTTCTTTTCTCAATACTTTAAATATTTCATTCCACTCTCTTATTGCTTGCATGGTTTCTGAGAAGTTGGATATAAATCTTATCTTTGCTGCTCTGTAGTTAAGGTGTTTTTTCATTTTGCTTCTTTGGGGTTTTTTTTAACCTTTGATTTCCTATAGTTGAATATGCTATGACTAGGTGCAGGGTTTTCTTTTTCTTTTTTTTTTCATTTATTTTGCATTTGTCCCACCATTTTTAGATATTCTGCCTTTGCCACCTCATCCCCAAACTTGCCCAGTTTTTTCTCTTTAGTTTTTGGTTTTGAAAGTTTCTATTGACATATTCTCAGTATCTTCAGCCATGTCCAGTCTCCTAATAAGCCCACCAAAAACATTCTTCATTTCTGTCACAGTGCTTTTTAATTTGTAGGATTTCTCTTTGATGCTTTTCTAGAATGTTCATCTTTGTACTTGCATCATCCATCTATTCTTGCATGGTGCGTACTTTTCCCATGTAGAGCCCTTAGCTTGTTAATCATGATTGGGTTAAATTCACAGCCTGCTAATTCCAATGCTTCTGCCATATCCAAGACTGGTTCTGATGCTTTCTCTGTGCTGCCAAACTGGGTGTGGTTTTTACCATACAGTACACCTGGGGCTCGTCCTACACCTAAACCAGAATACGGCATCTTCTATTTGTTACAAGAGCATTGCTCCTCTTCCATATACACCCTTCTGGACTGTGTTGCCACTTTACATTTAAACTTTAATTTAAATAATTTATTCAAATAAAACATTCTTGGACAGAATATATGACTTGCCTAGGACCTTAACTCCCCTTGGAATAGCTCTAGACTTTCGTGACTCTAGGTTTGGCCAAAGAATCAGAAATACAAAGCCAGAAAGGATGAAAGGGGATTGGCCCCGAAACATAACACTTCAGAATATTTAAGGAAAAAAAAGTGTCTTTTAGTGGGTATCTCTGGCGCTTCAGGACGATCATTTACGACGCCTGAAGAAACAAGGAAAATAACTTCGAGCTTTATGAGTAGTCAAAAGTTAGGTTTAAATGAAAGCTTTGTCTCAGCTTCAAAATATTGAATTTGGCAAGAAGAGCCTCTAATTACTGTCCTCAGATGCTGGGGCCCCCAAAACCACCACCACGTTAAATTAAACCCTTTCTGTCCTCTCTCTGCTTCTTTATGTGGTGGAGAAAGGGGAGATCAGAGACAGTGATGGTAAAACCTGAGTGTGCCCCTTTGATTTCCGTGAGCAAGTCCAGCACAAAGTTTATAACTTCAATTCTCTACAGAGGAGGGAATTTTCAAGTGAACAGTCATTTACGGGATCCTTTTAAGAGTGAGAGCCCACGTCATGAAGAAAGTAGTGATAGAGATCAAATTAGAAAAAGAGAATCTCTAGGAAAACCACAACACAAATATGTAAATGTAAAGACTGGGCCCTGTTGCTGACTTGGGAGAAGCTGAAGTTTTTAAAATACCCTGTTTGACCTATCATGGACCTGACCTTTGTAGAGAGCAAGATAAAGATGTGCCCAGAACATATCACCACACCACAGTGACGTGGTGTGAACTTAGTCTGCCCCACAGTGATGTCACTCCTGGTTTCAGGCCATTTTAGGGAGAGACTGTGTGGACAGATAAATGTACGTGGAACCTTCTGGCCTTACGGTATCCGAATTCAGACTACACAAATTATAATTTGTTTATGTCTACTCTTTGTGTTGCATTACAACAAGTGGGATTTCCTAGACAATGAGTGTTTTCCTTGAATGAGTTTTTAAAAAGAAGCTAGTATTTATAATGCAATGAATCACACTAAAATTTCCCTTTATAAAAAAGAAAAGAAGTCAAAGCAACGGTAGATTACAGATGGACTGAAGCAGACCGAATGATTAAGAGGCTGGGCTCCAGAGTCAGAGACACACACACACGCTTAAATTCTGGTTATCATTATGGACAGCGGTGTCATTTTGGGCAAATTACTTCAACGCTTCACGTTTTGGTTTTGTCATTTAAATAATAATAATATCAACAAGAAAAATAACAGCAAAACCAACATCTTAGGTGTCTTCTGAAAAGTAAACGAGTTGATACATAATTTTTCAGTGAATAGTACAATCATTGGTATGATTATTGTTGCTGGAAGAACTTCATAAGACTTCAGAGCTCTCTTCCTGGGAAAGGGGGCGAGGAATGCATTGTGGGAGATCCCATCAGCCTCAAAAGCTAAGTACGTAGATGTCTTTGTAATATCATCTATGAGACCATCAGAAGTTTTTCCAAACAATTTTGTTAATATATTTATATTTTCCATCTATAGCATATATACTAAGAAATGTTTAATACATTTATGTTTAAAACAGTATTTCCTTTCATCTGACATTCAAGCTGCTGTGAATTTAAAGCATGTCTCCTTGACTTCGGACTTCATGGTTTAGGGAGCAGTTTAAGTATACTTTCTATAGTATTCTCACCTGAAAGACAAACAATCTTATTTGAACTCTCACTCTGTTCCAGGTACTGTCCTGGGCACTTTACATACTTCACTTTATTTAATCTTCAACGTAGTCTACGGCGCCAATGTTCTTGATGTTTTTGGTCAGTATTCACATGGAAGCCTTTTTATCTTCCGTAGTTTTTGGGGGAGTTGCAGGGTTAACAATGAGCTATCCAGAGCTCTATATTAAATGCACAAGCTGTAAATTATGAAAGAACTTGGTTGCAACCCTGACTCTGCCCTAGCGTTGACTTTAGGGAAGTTGCTGAACTTTTCTGGATATTTGTTACTTCCATTATAAAATGGGGCTGATGTTACTTCACAGATTTATTTTAAGGATTAAGTGACTGCAGTGTGGTGAAAAATGTTGGACATAGAGCCTGGTACATAATAAGCACTCATTTAATGGTAGTCATCGCTTTTGATAAATGTGCAATGAGCTACCGATGGATAAAACATACACACACTACTAGAGACCATAGGAAATACCAAGCTAAAAATAACATGCTGACTGGATTGGGATTTACGTTTAGTGAGAAAACAACATGCATGAGTGAAAGAAGGGCTTTTTTAGGAAAACAAATAGGACTTTATAAAGGTTTGGGGAATAGTGGTCAATTCTTAGTGTTGCGGTATAGCTCAAATGAGAGAAGGCGGAAAAGTACACCTGAACTTGGTTTTGAAAGATAAATAGTGGTACTATTTGGAGAAGGGAGAAAAGAGCTTTGCAGATGCGGGCAACAGCATGACTGACAGCCCTGAACTCTGAGTGTACAGCGTCCGAGGAACAGTAGCGGTGTGTGTGTGGCTAGAGGATGGGGTTTGCAGAGATAGTCAATTTAGAAACGTCTGAAAGACAGACGTGATCTAGGTCATTAAGTGCCTTGCAAAGGACTCTTAGTCTTCCCGCCTGGCTGTTTAGATGACCCTCCACTAGGAATATGAAAAGTATAGGAATGAGGAGACAGCAGGGGGGAGCAGTCAAGACGTTGTACAGATGATGCTGCTGAAATTTGATAGCTTCCTGGACAAGGGCAGTGACAACAGGAATAAAACAGGGAACTGAATGAATATAAAAGGCACCTCAGGGATAGAAAGCAAAGGCTTTTAGTTCATGGCTGCGTTGGCAGTGAGCATGAGGAAGGGATTAACAATGATGTAAAGTTTCAGCCAGGTGGTTACAGTGGTAGCGAGATTTTCACTGAGACCAAACCATCACGATGTTTCTGGACGTAACGAATACACGAAGTCTCTTTGGGTGGTCCAGGCACATTGTCCTAAATACAGGAGGAAATCTGGGCTTGGAGCTTGAGAAAGAGTCCAGGTTTGGGTATAGAAAAACGTTCTTATAATTGACAAAGAAATATAATTTGCTTTGAGATACCTTTGAAAAATCAGACAGCTTTTTTGAATTTTATTACAATGTCCAAAATCTGGGCATATAGAGCATATGTATTCTCTGTATAACCTACAATGTATTTTAGGTGAAACACATCTATTTAATACCAGGCTCTTATTGTTTTTTCTTAAATGGACGATACAATTCCTTTTGGAATAAAAACAGGGTGTGGAGGAGTCAGTGATTCTGAAATTCACTTGTACAAGCGCTTTCACAGAACCTGTTTATCAGCTCAACAAACCCTGCCTGCCGGGCCTTTGCCGTGATTGGCAGCCTTGTAATCCTCTTGGGAGAATTAACTGGGTGGCTTTATCTATAAATAACATTCATTTTCAGGTGTGAGCTTCCAAGGCCTAGTCATGATGATTGGCGGGACCATCTAGCATACTGCCTTTTTTAATCCAGGGTTAATCCCTAAAGTGTTTGTCCAGCTTTTACATTCTTGTCACACTTCTCATATCTTAAGGCATAGTATGTGAAGAAAACTACTTTTCTTGATGCATTATGAACTTGTGTTAGGATTTAGTTTATTATTAATACTACTATTATTGTGATGCTTCATTAGGTAATATTGAATCACTTTTAATAATTTAAAATAGACCTTTACTGGCATGGTTTCATTTTGATCTTTATAATAATCCAAGCAGAGGGAGAGTTGTTACCATTTAATAGATGAAGAAACAGAGTAAGAGATGTTGACTAACTTCCTCAATATCCCAGAGACAAAAAGGGTTGGAACCAGGACTTGGACATTAACTTGACTCCAGATGAGGTGCATTTTATTTTATTTATTTTTTTATATTCTGGTTACAGATGTCTTGACTTTTAGTATTCCTTCTTGTATAGTCTCAAGTGACTAGACTATGAATATTCTTGTTTTTTTACCTTAAAAATTCTTACTGTATTTTAACATGGTAAATGGGCTATTAAGATGTGATCAACACGTTTGGAAAAAAGCTGTATGTTAACCCACCATGTTGAGAGTGTGAAGGTCAGAGATTCTTGTTTGAGTTCCTTTCTTTTTAAAAAATGTTGTGAGCAACACTATTTTGGCTTTATTTTCAAAACACAGATCTCATTTTAAATCATGAAAAAGACTTATTTTAAAGTCCTTTGAAAACTGAAAACTAAGAATGAAAAGTGGAACTGAGACTCAGCAAGAGACACAGAAACCTTGTAAAATAGCCCAAGGCCCGTTGTTTCCATCCAGGATCTGTTCCGATTGGCCAGGGTGTCACCTTGCCTTTATTAAAGAAAATATTTTGGCTATCAGCCTTAGAGGCTGCAAATTAGAAAAGGGCTTCTCTACTTAAAGTATGTTGTATTTTAAATGAGGAGAAGGGACAGAGAGGAAAAGAGAGCCCAGTGTCCGACATGTTGGGCGGTGCGGCGCCGGCAGCTGGGGCTGCTGCTTCGGCCTTGGTTCAGACGTCAGAACCAGTCAAGGAATCTGACGAGGTTCACCCCCGTATCTAAGTTTGTATTCCTACGGGTGCTTGGGGTCTCTCCTGGCCACACAACAGAGGGGTTTAAGCAGAAGGAATGTAAAACGTGATCTCAGATGGTCTTTAGATGATAAAGGGCTATCATAACCACTGACAGAGGTGCATGACTCACTAGGAGATGAGCACAGATACTGTGCCCATATTTCCTGTGGAAAGAACACCTACTATGCTGCAAACAAGTGTGCGACCTGGAAAAGGTCACCACAAAAAGACCAGCTAACAATGGCGTTCTCAGAGATACAGAACAGAAAACCTATTTACATTATTACTTTCTTCGCTAACCTTCCAACAAGGCCAGCCCTCTATAAAATTCTCAAGAAGCCTGTTGTGCTTCAGCCTCTTCCCTCTCTCCCCTTCAGTGCTGGCCTCTCGTCGTCCAGTGAAGTGACCTTCTGCTCCCAGGTCTGGAGCCCACAAGGCTGCCCTCCTCGGCAGTGGCAGTGCCGTGTGAGCTGTGGGTCCTCCCTCCACCTTCCTGTCCATCACGCACTGTCTGCGGCTGCGCCTCTTCTCCCACGCCTCACTTACTGCTTTTCTTTGGACAGTGAGTATTCTGATAAATTAATCTATGCTTAAGAATTCGTGCTTTATAGTGTCTTATCTCTCCAGACAGTGTTGTGTTTTGATATTTCAAAATGAGACGGCCAGAGGAACTACTAGAGAAATCATGTTGGATGTAGAAACAATGTATCAATGGCAGGAATCCTAGGCTCGGGAAGCAGGCCTCTTTGAGAGTTTGGAGGCCCTTGGGTAGCCTCTAATGATGCTCTGTTTCTCACGTCTAACTCCACATTTGATGAGACTTACCATGTGAAATGACGACCGAGAGGGATTTTAGCCCCTGCCTTTACCAGAAAGCAGGCCGTTTCTCAAGGTCTGCCTTGGCTTCTGTTGAACGGCACAGTCTCTGCTGTTTTATCTCATCAACACAGGCTTTTTCCATACTCATAATTCTGACCAGAGGATTTAAGCGCATGTCTTAAATTTCATGTTTCCAAGATTAAGATTTTAAAATGGCTGGCCATGTCAGGCTGTATAATCAAATAGGAAAATTACATACTCCCCTGGAGAAGTTTTGAGAATTTTCCAGTGTTTGTAAACATAATTTTCAAATTAATGTATTAGCTTTCTCTGTTAGCATGTAGAGTTCACAGGGAGAGCATTTCTGATATTTCCTGCTACCCAATTGTAAAGGTATGTAATTACCTGTGAATACATGCACAATATTGTAAATATCGGCGCTGTTTGGCTAGTCCCCCACTCTGTGTGTTTGTTCTGTGAAAACTGTATTGGCTTTCGAGAGTAGTCCGTGAGCAGTTGGTGAATAGCTACTCTCAGCTCCTGAGTTGGGCTTCACAGTCTCTGCTGGGAGTCCAAGGTAAAGGCAGTTTGCGTCATCTGTCACTTGAGGGCAGCATAATCTTACACAGGCCTGCTGTCTGGTTTGGCCTTAAATCAGAGAACTGGTTACAAAGGAAACCACAAAGCTTAAGAGCATGTGGAATCAGACTTCCTGGCAAGATGGAGACGTGGTTAGGTACGCTTTGCTTCTTCACACAACAAAAAGAAGGAGAACAACCAATTTAAAAGCAAAAAACAACCAGAAGGGCCAGAAAATTGGACTGTATAGAAGTCTAACTGGTAGAAGGGCAGAGATGGGTGGCTGGGGCTGAAAGGATGCACGACAAGGCAGTGACTGGTGGGACAGACCTGGCGGGCAAGGCGGTGGCTGGTGGACCAGGTCGTCCCACATTTGTGTGCAGATAAACCTGGAGGAACAACTCGGGAGCGAGACAGACTATGCAACCCAGGGTGCCAGTGTTGGGTAATAAGACCTCAAAACCTCTGGATGTATAAACATGTGGGGATTGTGGTAGCAGGTGAAATGGACAGTCTCACAGGAGAGTCCATTGGAGAGGCCCATGGGGTCCTAGAATGTACACAAGCTCACCCACCCTACAATCAGCATCAGGGTAGCACCTGGAAGGGTGCAATTCTCTTGTGAGAAATGAGGGAAGTGACTGGAAGTGGGGTAAGAGCCAAGCAAGCAGCATTGTTCCCTCTCTGACCACTTCCCCACATACAGTGCCACAACACAGTGATGTGGGTTCCTCCGCCCTGGTGACTACCTAAGGCTCTGCCCCTTACAATGTAACAGGTATACCAAGACAAAGAAATATGGCCCAAATGAAAGAAGAGATCAAAACTCCAGAAAAAGAACTAAGCGGTGAGAAGATAGCCAATCTATCAGATGCAGGGTTCAAAACACTGGTAATCGGGATGCTTAGAGAAATGACTGAGTACAGCTGCAAAATAAAGGAAGAAGTAAAGGCTATGCAAAGTGACATAAAGCAAAATACATAGGGAACCAACAGCGAAGGGAAGGAAACCAGGACTCAAATCAACAATTTGGAAGGAATAAACATTTAACCAGAACAGAATGAAAAACTAGAATTCACAAAAATGAGGAGAGGCTTAGGAACCTCTGGGACAACTTTAAAGGTTCCACCATCTGAATCATAAGGGTGCCAGAAGGAGAAGAGGAAAAGCAAGAAACTGAAACATTATTTGAAAAAATCACGAAGGAAAACTTCCCCAGTCTAGCAGAGGAAATAGACATATAAGTCCAGGAAGCTCAGAGAGTCCCAAAGAAGTTGGACCTAAAGAGGACCACACCAAGACACATCATATTTAAATTACTCAAGATTAAAGATAAGGAGAGAATCTTAAAAGCAGCAAGAAGAAAGGAGAGAGTTGCCTACAAAGGAGTTCCCTTAAGACTATTAGCTGATTTCTCAAAAGAGACCTTACAGGCAAGAAGGGGCTAGAAAGAAGTCATGAAAGGCAAGGACCTCCATCCAAGATTACTCTATCCAGAAAAACTATCATTTAGAATAGAAGAGCAGATAAAGTGCTTCCCCAAGACTTTATTACACAAAATGTTAAAGGGACTTATTTAAGAAAAAGAAGGTCAAATCTATGAACAGTAAAATGACAATAAACTCACAACTATCAACAACTAAACCTAAAAAAAAATAAAAACAAAGATAAACTAAGCAAACAACTAGAACAGGAATAGAATCACAAAAATGGGGATCACATGGAGGGTTATCAGTGGGGAGGAGGAGGGAGGAGAATGGGGGAAAAGGTACAGGGAATAAGAAGCCTAAGTGGTAGGTACAAAATAGACAGGGGAGGTTAAGAAAAGTATAGAAAATGCAGAAGCCAAAGAACTTACATGTATGACACATGGACATGAACTAAGGGGAGAGAGTGTAGGAAGAAGGTGGGGTGTAGGGTGGAGGAGGATAAGGGGAGAAAATAAATGGGACAACTGTAATAGCATAATCAATAAAACATACTTAAAAACATGGAATCAATTTTTTCCACATACACTGCTCACCTGAATGAAACATAAGGTGACAATATTAGAACGAGTAAAAATATTTTTCTATGATTAAAACTCCTTATCAAAAGGATGTGACTTACATGAGGAAGCTAAATTATGAATTTAAAATTTAGGGTTTAAAAAAGAACACTGTAGAGAGACAGAGATTGACTTCTTTCCTGTGTGTGGATGGAGTCTTGCATAGTAGTTAAGCCACTGGGCACTTGTATCTGGCTATTTTGTTTTAATCCACCGTCATATTTTGAGCAAGTTATTTAACACTTCTCTGCCTTAGTTTTTTTCAAATACAAAATGGGAGGAATCATCATATGCATTTCTGGAGTTGTTAAGGATTAAACGAGATAATACAGGTAGACCAATTTGAATATACGCTAAAGGTAACTGAAATGTGTTTGCATTTTATTCATAAGATAAATGCTGAACTTTTCAAGTGAAAAGGCCCTAAGTATCAGAGCCCTAGGTAGGAGAAAGAATTTTAGTGAGATGGTTAGATTGCATTTTATGATATGTGGTCACAAAGATCCTGGAAAAAAAAATATGTTTGAAGAAGTTATTTAAGAGTATTCATTGTTAATTAGGGTTTTCTCTCCAGCAACAGAGAAGTACTACAATTCAAATAAAAAATGAAATAATATGTTAAAAAAATTAAGATTTGGAGGAGAGATCTCACGTGCTTATATAGAAGAGAATTTTTTTCTCCTTCTCAAAGACTTGAATCATTAGTTTTTAGTTGGTGACAGACTAGTGACTACTTTTTTTTTTGCCGAGGCACTTAGCTGTCATCTATGAAAATCTTCATAGTAAATATGACCCTGAAAAGTGGGTCAAAAAAAGACAATTCATATTGAGGAAATTCAATCTTACTGGATTTCAAATCTATACTCAATAAGCACTTACCAAGAACTTAGAGAGCTTAAAAGAGTGTAAACTTTCTGGAAATAGAAGGATTGCACCAGAAGGCGAAACTAAGGAGATGCCAAGATGAATGAGGTCAGTGCTTAGAGGAGGAAGGAAAGGTGAGCCAGAATGACCAGATGGCAGGACTGGAAGAAGGATTTGAACGTGACCCTAAGTATTGTGGGAATTTGGAGAAGAGAAGAGAGAAGAAAACTTAGGTAGGTGTGAACTGAATTTTAGCCCCCCTGCTCAAATCATATATGAAAGTCCTGACCCTTAATACCTCAGAATGTGTCTATATTTGGAGATAGAGACATTAAAGAGATAACATTAAAATGAGGTCATTAAGGTGGACCCTAATTTAATATGACTCTTGTAAGGAGATTCTAGCCTCCAGGATTGTGAGAAAATACATTTTTGTTGTCTGAGTCACTTATATTGCGGTAGTTGGTTGTGGTAGCCCTCGGTGGGGGAAATTATGAATGGAGTAGAAATACGTGTTTCCTTGGAAGAAGACTAGCAAGCAAATAGTGGTTTTGAAACTGGAAAAATCAGTGTTTATGCTGCCTTTCACTACCAGGGCAATAAGTAGAGACCAGGATTGAATCTTTATGGGTGCTTTATTCAGATTCCAGTGATCTGAGAAGACTTTGGGTCATGTACCCTCAAAAACTGTCTTAACATTTCATCTCAAGAAGACATTTTTATAATAAGAAGAAAGGGTAGGAAAGGGGTTTGGAAAAGGTTAATGGGATAAGAGTTGCAGTTGAGAGATTTTCCATAGTACTTCTTTATCTGTCAGTCAACAATTCTTTGTCTGTGTCCCTCCCTGGAACACAATGGCTCAGATACCACCTCCATCACTTGCAGACCCCCTGGGACACAAAGGTTCAATTGATTGTAAACCTCCTGGAGTCATCACAGTTCCTAGAATAACAGTTTTCCACGTGCGTTCATCACTTAAGCCTATCAACTATGACTGAAGCTAAAATCTTGAACTCTTGAGTTCCCCTATCAGGTTGGTTTTGAGAAATGTTTTGTCGGTTTCTTAGAGAAGCAAGCTGATGTGATACTGACCTGAAATGGTGGGACTTCACCCAGCAAATCTGGTCAGGGGCTTGGGGAAGAAGTGGAATAAATTCTCAGCCTTTGGAAGCTGAAGCTGGAAGTGGTATGAGGGCTTTCAGCAGACAAAGACTGAAAGCAAAAGCCATGTGTAGCTGTATGTTGAAAGGCAT